GAAATCTTTAATCCAACTGTACACTTCCTTGAATCGAAGAGGGAACAATTTGAGAATCTACCACACGGTTTTCCACTAAAAAATCGAGTTTCAGTAATTCTCCTCTAGCCAAATCATAGGTAAATCTCTCAGAGGCAACCTGTAAAACATCAGCCAACAATCGAACTCGCCTGCCTTCCAACCTATAAGCATGTAGAAATGGCAAAAGCTTTCTCCGTCTCAATCTTGAGCGCCAGCATAAATCATCAAAAATTTGTATATTTTTTAATGCCTCGTTACCTTTTTTCTTTCCAAGATTAGCAAAAATCAATTTCTTGTCTGCAAATGATTGCAACTCCACCAATACCGTATCTGATCGATTAAATTTCACTACCTTAACCATTGGAATAGGTCTTGATTCACCTGTCAATGTATAAAATAGGTTTTGCACCTTCCTATTCAAATCAGAATCATCATCAGTCAAACCTTTAATTAAGATATTTTTCTTTCTCATTTCATTCGATACCTTGTCCAAAGAATGTAAAATCAAACTGTTTTCCCGTTGCAAATCGTCTTTTAATTTAGAAAACTCTCCTAGTTTGACTTCTAACTGAGTTAAACGCCGGTCATGATCATTATGTAAATTAGCCAACCAATCTATCTTCGTAACAACCTCATTTAACGTCGAAAAAAGCTTATCAAATCGGTCTTCCAAATATGAAATAACCTCCCTAGGAATAGACTTACTTGACTCTAACCTTGAAGGGAAGAAATCTTCCAATCTCGCCGTTTTCAATGAAGGTTCACTCGGAGATCGATGTCGTTTTGCTGTGGATGCCGATGATTGAATCTGAGATTGTGGCGGAGTACGATCAACAGGGCCGGGATTTAATTCTATCCCGCCTAAAAATAACAACAACTCAAACACCTTAATCCAAAACTCGATATTTTCCATAATTTAGGCTTAAAAGAAGCACACAAAAAAGTTCACCAACACGCTCAACAGCAAGCAGCGCCCCTTAAAATAATAGTCTTTAACATGAATAACTAAACAAAAATATATAAATAAAATACTGCGAATGAAATGATCTTAATAAAATAACATATTATTTTTTATAAAAATTACCCAAAATGCAATTCATGTTTTTGAATTCAGGCAGTTAATCTAATAGATCACAGGTAATCGAATAGACAATAGATCGAAATTGAAAGCCTGGACTATATCATCATTTTGTAAGATATTGCAAAGACTGTTCAGACTAAGCGATATTAGTCCAAATAATCCATAATGTTCGGCATCAACTTAGAAGAAATAATAATAAATTCAAACTTGCAAATGACAATTATGTTACTTATATTCTGGGAAACAGTTTAAAATTTTAAGCTTTTATAATTAATTTCATTCGGCGATCGTTCACTCTAATTTTGAATACTTATCTTTACCACAGCATGCAATTCTTTCTATCATATTCTACGTGTAACATGTTCAGATCATTCATTTTGACATTACAAAATAGAATAACGATTGCGACTTTTAAAATACGTCACAAAATCGCTTCCTGTGATTAACTGTCCGGCTATCAATTACACTATAGAAATAATCGTGAAAAAACTTTATTTGCAGCTTGTAAGAATTTGTAAGGAAAAAATGTTATTTATTGTCTTTTATTTTGTGTCAACTTCTCTCGGCTTGTGTCATACGTTGCGAGGCATTATATTAAATTTGTCAATCGGACGGTCACGCAATAACTCGATTTTTCTTGGATATTTCGGTTCGAGTCGGACATCATTCACAGTTCTGATTAAATCCATTATGATGCATGATTAGTCAATTAACAAAACTGTAACCACATAGCACAATGTGCTATTGCCTCTTAAGAAAAAATTCGAATCATTATAGAATGTCGCTAGGCAGAGAGCTTAACGGTTATCTCACGATTGCTTTCTTACTGGTGAAAACATACATAAATTAAATAATACATGTTATATAAGCAAGTTAAATAAAGTATATATAATAAATAAATAATTATAGATTTATGCAAAAGATTAATTTAATAGACGACTTGTGTGGTTAGATAAATGTGTTACACAATTAAATGAATTTCTTTAACTATTTTCATTTTAAACTCTTTCCTCCATGTGGGCACAAAGAGGACTTTTAATGCCCATTGTGGGTTTGGTCAGGCTTACAATGGAAGTGATGGTGACAGATGAGGCCCGACATAAAATTTTTGCTCGCCAATATACGCAAATTTCCAGAGCGGCAGGCTGACGTTTTAATCGCCTTCAAACACCATCAACTTAATACTGTTTATTTTAGTAACTTCTTAATTTATAATTGAAAGCTTTTAATTGATTGCTCAAGATAATAAAACGAACATCTTTATTTTAATATTTGATATTCTTAATGACTTTTTCATATCAGTGATTAAAAACGACATTAAGATTTAAAATGTTATTATTCGTTTACTTTACTTAAAATAAATAAAACAGCACTTTTCATTCTTAAGATATTAAATATATAAATATTATATAAGTTATTTAAAGATCTATAAGTATGTTTATGAGAGAATAGCACAATGTGCTATTGTCTCATAAAATAATTATAGCATATTGTGCCTCTTAAGAAAAAATTCGAATCATTATAGAATGTGGTCAGTGTGGCGACCTCACCGTCTAGAGACCCGGAATTAAATCCGAACGGTTGGAAAGACTCCACGAAGTTTTTGTAAGTAATCTGTTCCAGATATGTTGGACCCCAACCCTCACTACCCGGCCGCCCATTCCGGACCTGGCTTTTTAGTAAGCCCTCTTAATGACCACGCAGTGGAAAGAGATAAATAAATCTATATATATAAATGTGGATGTTTGTTTGTTTGTTTGTTTACTATACACTCCTAGGCCGTTCGACCAATTGCTATGAAACTCGACAGTTACGTTCAAATACTTCTAACTTAGATAGTGTCGTAATTCCACCCCAAAATATCGATTGCATTTCTTAAAATCAATTCATTTCTATCTACATTCGATTTTTAATTCTAATAAGTGCCCTCCAGTAGCCGAGTGCATAAAACTACCGAACTCTGGTTGTCGTGGGTTCGGGCATGGCCAACGGACTGACCACGTGGAGTTTTTCGGGTTTTCTTCACGTTAGTAACACCTAAGTAGGATCCAGCTTCCCATAAAAGTCTTTCCGAGAAGTAAACCCCCTCGAAAAATCTCCCGAGAGTCTCATTGCCAACAAAAAACAAGAGGCGGAGAACACAACGGCCAAACTCCATGCGTTATGATGCTTTATTAAAGAACCAATCTAATCCAATCCCAAATAAAAGAAATGAAAAACACGCATCTTATTACAAACGCGTTTCTATTGGAAAAAAATAAATTTTGAAAAAAATCAGTTAAAGAATTCACTCATTAAAAATAAATGAAATAATACGTCAAAAGAGATGCAAACTTCTCTGTAAAAAGTTGGCAAAACATCTCATCAAAACCATAAAAACAACATTCACTTAGCTTATAAATCACATAAGACAGTTACGAGACACTTATTTATTGATAAAATATTGAATATTTAATAACATTTAATTAATTAATTAATTAATATATTTATTCAAAAGTTTGTTTGATATTTACTAAATACTTCCTTAGAATTTTCAATATTTCAAAAGATTTACTTATCAAATTCATTTAAATTTAAGTACTTCTCTTTAGTAATTATTATTAAAAAGTTAATAATTATTTTTTTGTCAAGTGTTCATTCGAATACATCACAAGCCATTTAAATTAATTCGATAAATACGATTATTTTAGGTATATTTTACTAATTAAATATCATATTATTTTTATTTTAAGTACATTTTATTTGATGAATCCGAATAAAGTGTGCAGTACATTAAGACGTATCGTTCTTAAACATGTAAAAAATATATTTTTTTTCTATAAATAAACTTGAAAATTAACTTTTAAACAACATTTTAAATGAGTAAAATTACAAAAGAAATAAAATATATTTTTTCATTCTATTTTAATAACTTGAAAATTCTATTTTCTGATAAAGAAAAATTTCTGATTTTTATAAATCAAATCCAATTAAGGATTGTTCATGCGAATCAAAATGAGTTTGCATGAAATAGTTTATATGAAGATTAATTTAGATTGGATAGAATGCTAAAATAAATAAATTGGATAAGCAATTTGTGTGTGATTTAGATTTTATGTTATTTAAACATTTTTCCACTTATTAAATACAAAAATATAATAATAAACCGCTTTTAAATATAATCGAAAATGAAATTTTAAAACAAAAATATATTCTCTAATCTGTAAGTATACAGAATTAGAATCAGTGGCGCGTTATCCTATGGGCAAAAAAAGGGCAATAGCCTGAGATTCCCTGTTGGTGAGACCAAACTAATCTTTTATAAGAAAGTATTTCTCCAAAAAATTCCCTCAAAGAAAAATGTCTGAAGGCAACAGTGTACATGGGGCCCACTAATTCAAATTCGCCTGGAACCCATGAAACTATAACGCGCCACCGATTAGAATGACTCAAATTTAAAAACTCCATAAATATATTATTACTAGCAGATGAACCCGGCGTGGTCGAACAAAAAATAACACCAAAGACTAAGATTAGAAGTACGAAATAATCTAATAGATTATTTCGTGCTTCTAACCCTTCTATTATATTGCGTTATAGTGTTTGATTTAAATAACTACAAAGATTGTCTTATGTAAGGGTATATCACACCAAGTACCCAATCTAACGCATTTTAAAAATTCTTTAACTTGTGTACAGGAGTGAAATAAAGAATTTTTAAAATGTGTTAGATTAGGCACTTGGTGTGATATATCTTTACATAAGATAATCTTTGTAGTTATATAAATCGTGTTTAAACACTATAATATAACAAACATTAAGACAAAAACTATATAGAGAGTTTGGTTATTTTAGCCTACCATTGTCACGTTTACCATTGTCGAATGGTACGAAATGGCACAATTTCATTGGTCAAGTAGACAACAATTAAACGATATCTTAAAATTTTTAACATATCATATTTTTGTTCTAATGTTAACTCGAAGAAATTATACCATTCACAGCCGAACATCAAAAAGTAATCGGCCAACCAATCAACGAAAACGGACCAAATATTTAAACTCGTCACTCTCGAAAAGCACTTAAAACATTTTGTGCAGGCCAAGTAACCTCGTATTATATAAGTTTCCTATTCGAATGCCACCATACAGCTGGTCCGATAGGAAGACGGGCTGCTGAGAAAGGGAGGAGGTTGGAGTAATTCGACCGAAAGTAATTGTTGACCTCCTCCCGGAATAGAGGACGGTCAATGTCTACTAATTAAGGCACCAGCCTATTGTTTTGGAGGATCCAGGACCATAATCAAGAGAGCAACTTTACAGGAATTTTTCATGGGAGGTAAGTTTCGATATGTGGGGGCCCATCCCTCACCATCTCACCTCCATTGTACGCCTGCCAAACCCATGAATGTAGAAAAAAAGCTCTCTTACTGCTCATGAAGCGAGAAAAGTTTTAAAAAACTTGTAATCACTTGTTCGACAGACTGATAAAAAAATAAAAAAATAAATACAAACACGAACGAATATAATTAGAACAATGTTTAAAATTTTAGAATTCCTAAAGTTAAAACTTCGGAAAAAATATAAAATTAGAAAAAATATAACTGAGGATCTGTTGTGTTTCGGCAGCGTTTTTACGGTACTGATTCATAACACAAGTATTTCGTTATGCACAATTATTCACGTTATGCATGTGCGATCTAGCATTACTAGTGAATAAGCTTTTATTCATCAAAATGACATTTTATAAGAAATTATCTTAATAAAGGAACTTTGTATTAATTTACTCAGCGTATAAAATCGCTAGTTTTAAAAGACCTTGATGAATAACTACATGAAATCGGTTGGGGTAAT